AATGCACGTTTTATTCAGTCCAGAAAAATGAGGAATCCGTGTTAAATGATGAATATATCTGAGCATCTGTTCATCTACACAGGCAAAGGTGGAGAGCTGCTGACAGAGAGCTGCTGACATGATGCAGAGAAGGAAGGTGAATGGTTGAGGTGTCAAAGGGACCAAGTAGAAGAGCAGCATGGCTCACAGCATTGGTGCTAGGTTCAAACTGTTTTATCAGGGTGTGGATAGAAAGAGAAGTGGAGTAGGGGTGGTCTTGGAGGAAGTGAGGCGTAGGTCTGATGAAGGCCTAAGAGGAAATAAGGAGGATGTTTCGTTGTGGTGACTTCTGAAAAGGGTAAAGCCGAAGGAAGCAGGACAAATAAACATCATAAACAGGTCAAATTAAGTTTATGACACATTGTAAACAAATTAGCCAAAATTTCTTCTTGGAATTGACAATAAAATCAGGTTTTAAATTCAACTATAGAACAACAGAATGTAAAATAAGTAATAAAAAAATCCTTGACACTTGTAAAATGAAAAATTCTGGTCAAAGAAATTCTTAACTTAACACAAATTGAAATGATTGGGTTAAATTTATCAGCCTAAATGACTTTATCACATATTGAAAATGTTGTCTACAGTTTAGGAGGTGTTTCCTTCTAAGAGCTACCTGAAGTGGGTTATTTATGGGAAAACAACAAGTCTAGTGGGTAAATTATATGACTTTAAACATGTTGAGATTTCACACAGGTCCTATGAGTGCATGAGGAGAACAGAGTTGAGTACATGGTGAGTTTAAGAAGTTGTGCTTTTGAACAAAGGTGCATGTAGACGTTTTGTGCAGTGATGAGTCTCTGTGATATCTTCAAGTGTAGACATAGTCTTAATGGAATTGAATTATGTACTTGAGCGTTTAAAACATCTGTTGTGCAATCTAGGACACCAGAATGACTCTGTTGAAGGTAAACGCTGTGGTCCCAGAATAGAACTTGCTAACAGATGATTAAGGTTAATAACAGATGAATGTTGAATCAGACTTTTAATAATTGGATTGTTTATTTTTCCTTCTCAGCAGCCTGAGAAGACAGAGCTGTGGATGGGGGAGGTGAGTCTGGCTAGGCC